TAAAATTCCGCACGCCGACAGGAGTGGGCACGGTACTTTACGACCAAAGAGTCGCCCGCGAGTGCTACTTACAGGCATGCTGGGGAATGGGAAAACGAGAAATGCAAGTGCATGAGATCACTGCGTGGCCCGCAAAGAAAGCAATGCCGCCTCGCCCTGAACTGGCCGTGGAGTTAGAAGAAGTGGAGATCGACCTTGCCCGACTAGAGAGGCGGGTAAGATCTGGAGTCGGCCTCATGGAGGATATACGAGTAGAAGTTATACGTGTGCTTTGTGAGAACCGCCTGGGGGCCAGAGGACATGCTGGGTATGGACCGTTTTATCATTTCTCACTGACTCGCGGTAGACCCCAGCCATCGGCCCGTGATTTAGAAAAGCGATATTTAGCCAACGACCGAAGAGAATTTGTGAAGAAGGAGGTGAGCACGTTGCTGGCTACCGGCCACATCCGAGTGCTTCTAGATAATTCTTAAATACAACCTACGGCTCAACCCTGAAAAATGCGTCTTTGCCGTGCAAGGAGGGAAATTTCGGGGCTACATGGTGACCAAACGGGGCATTGAGTCGAACCCCGAGAAAGTCCAAGCCATCATGGACATGCAACTTCCCAGCACTATAAAAGATCTTCAAAGATTGACCGGCCGACTGGCCGCTTTAAGTCGGTTCCTAAGCAAGTTGGCAGACAAGAGGCTTAACATGGACTTCCGAGTGTCAAGAGTCTTTCGAAGAGTTGAAGAGGTACCTCTCGACGCCTCCTGTATTATCTACTCCGCAGGTCGGCGAACCCCTGTATCTGTACTTAGCGGTATCATCCAAGGCTATCAGTTCAGTGCTCATTCGGGAAGAAGAGTGGGTTCAGCATCTGGTTTATTACGTCAGCCGATCTTTGAAATCGGCCGAGACTCGCTATACACCCCTGAAAAAGGTGGTGTATGCACTAGTGGTCAGAGTGCGGAAGTTGACACCTTACTTTCAGGCACACACTGTCCGGGTCTTAACTGATCAACCCTTAGGAGGCGTGCTACGTAACCCCACGTCCTCAGGACGACTCGTCAAGTGGGCCGTGGAATTGACCCAATATGGAATTGAGTACCAACCCCGCCCTTCAATCAAGGGGCAAGCCTTGGCTGACTTCATGGTCGAGTGCAAAGTGGGAGAAGTCGATGGAATCCCAACTTCGGGAGAAGATACGGGAGAATGGTGGGAGCAACATGCCGACGGAGCTGCGAGTAGCCAGCATTGTGGCGGTGGAGTTATGTTAATCACTCTGGAAGGATTCCGACTATTCTACGCTCTGAGCTATCAATTTCAGGCATCCAACAACAAGGCAGAGTATGAAGCTATGCTGGGAGGCATCAGGCTCGCCAAGTCCTTAGGAGTCGATCGTCTGCGTATTAAGACGGACTCGCGTCTTGTGGTTGGACAGGTATCCGAAACCTGTGAAGGTAAGAGCACTCGGCTGGTGCAATACAAAGAGAAGACTGCGGAGTTGCTGAAACGGTTTTCCGCATACGAGATAGAACATATCTCGCGGGCCGAGAACACGAAAGCCGACATTTTGTCGAAGATCGCCTAGGTAGGAGTGTCGGATCATCTCCTAAGAATCTGTCAAAGGGAGGAACTGACCCAGCATCGAAGAGCCCGGTAAAGAAGTTTAGCAGGTAACAATCCCGGACTGGAATCGCGCTAAGAATCTAGAAATGTTCTGGATCGAAAACATCCGGCGTTACAAAGAAGAGGGAAAGTTTTCTGATGACCCCACGGTCGCAGCCCGAGTCCAGAGACAAGCCCCTTCCTTTGAGATCGTAGATGGGCAGCTGTACAAAAGGTCATTTGGAGGCCCCCTCCTCATGTGCCTGCTCCGACCGGAGGCGGAGAGAATAATAGACGAGGCCCATCGTGGGATATGCGTGGCGCATCAGGGTGCTCAGACCCTTGCACGTATGTTAATTGTCCAAGGTTATTATTGGGCTACCATGATGAGAGACTGCGTCGACTGGATAGCAAAGTGCACTGTGTGTTAGTCGTTCGCACGGAAGGACACTCGACCAGCCACCTTCTACACTCCAGTCGCAATTGCCATTCCGTTCGCTAAATGGGGAGTCGACCTGCTAGGCCCTCCGCCGGTCGCCCCGGGGCGTTTTAAGTTCTGCGTGTTGGCCATCGATTACTTCACCAAGTGGGTGGAGGCTGAGCCTCTCGTAAGCATCACTAAGTATTAGTGTCGGCGCTTCTTATGGAAGAAAGTGATATGTCGTTTTGGATTGCCCGAGCACTTAGTCAGTGACAATGGTCGACAGTTTGATTGTCAACCCTTCGCGGATTTCTGTCAACGACACAGCATTTGACATACCAAGGTGTCGGTTGCTTATCCTCAAGCCAACGGACAGGTCGAGAACGTGAACCGCACCATTGTGGACGGTATTCGTAAAAAGTTAGAAGACGTGGGAGGTAACTGGGATGATGAGTTGGACCACGTCTTGTGGGCGTATTGCACCACCCAGAGGCGAGCTACTGGCGAAAGCCCGTTCTCGTTAGCATACGGCTCTGAAGCGAAGGTGCCCATAGAGGTCTTCGAGCCCACTCATAGGGTTCGCCATTACACCGATGAAGGAAACGAGGAAAGCCTTAGGATCGAGAAGAATTTCCTGGAAGAGCGAAGGGAAGCATCTCACGCTCACATGGTGGAATACAAGCAGGCTGTCAAGAGGTATCATGACAAGCGAATCCGACCCCGAGCTTTAAACCAAGTCGGGGACCTTTTTTTGCGTGATCGACAGGCTAGCTGACCCACTGAAGGGGGAAAGTTCGCAGTCAAGTAGGAGGGACCCTACGGAGAGCTGCCGTAATTCAAGCAGGCACCAACAAGTTGGAAACCTTAGAAGGGGAGCCTATTGATCGGATCTGGAATGTGATACGTTTAAAAACGTACTACCAGTAAAAGGTTAGCCCCGTGTATTCGTTAAAACGCAGCAAGATTGATGTTGCGAGTGGAGGTGCTTTAGTTGACAAGACATCAGAGGCTGCAAGAAATCTAATTGCAAACATGGCTGCAAATTCTCAACAGTGATGAGATACACAAGGATGTATTATTCCAAGTGGATGGGCGATTTCTACGGCAAATCGATACACAAGGATGCAACCATTGTTGAAGCTGAGGTCATTGCGAAAGGCCTTGCTTGGACGTGGAAGATGGGGATAAGAGATGTCGGGATTCAATCCGATGCGGGGAGAGTCCTCAACTGGCTAACTGGCAATACTGAGTTGAGAGGCCCTACATGCGATCACATTGATGGGATTAAATGGTGGCTTCAAAGAGATTGGAAAGTGACGCTTCGCAATATCACTCGCGAACAAAAGGAAAGTGTGGATGTTGTAACCTCTTGGAAGAGCTCATTGAGAAGGAAAGCATGCGGGCGTCTTGGTCGCACAATGACAATAACTAGTGCTTCCTTGGGGTTCGGAATGGAAGAGCTCATTCAGAAGGAAGGCATGCGGGCGTCTTGGTCGCACAGTGATAACAACTAGTGCTTCCCCGGGGTTCAGGGTTCATGTAAGGGGATTTGATCCCTTGCCCCAGGAGCATTCAAACCAGAAATCTTACCATATTAGCCAACTTAGAATTTATGATCATAAATGTATATCACATAACTATATGTTGAAAATTCTATATAATATATATAAGAGGTAATGAGATAGGATGGTGGGCCCCTTCCAAGAGTGGGCCCTGAGCAAGGGCCCAGCCTGCCCTTGCAAAATTCCTGGCCTGGCCGTTGGGATTTGGCAAATTATATCATGCACCGTGCGTCCTTTTGTTAAATGAAAAGAAACGGTGTTTGATTTCCGCCGTTTCGCACCCTTTCGCAAAAAGTAACCCTGTTATTCAGTGTCATTTTGTATATACTGCAGTTTCAGTTCAACACAACTACAGTTTCATTTCGATATAACTATAGTTTCATTCGATATTTATAGACTCAAATATGTGAAAATGTTATTTAATTTTATTTTATATACACTATAGTTTCATTAAAACACAACTACATGATCATTTTGATATAATTACAGCTCCATTGTACAATATACACTTAAATATGTGAAATGTTATTCAGTTTCATTTTATATACACTACAGTTTCATTTCACTATAACTACAGTATCATTTTGATAGTAATGCAGTCTCGGTTTAGATATATTGTAGTGTCAGTTGGTGTTTAATACACCAAATAAGCGGACTCCGTTAACTATAACGGCGGGCCGTTTCTTAACTTAAAGAAACGGCGCCATTTTTTACCGTGGTGCATATGTACACCGCAGTCTATGATATAACGACCCTTGGGATTTCGATTCACCATCACCGTCTTTGTCTTCCATAGACGTATTAGAATTTTATCACTAAAATAGGAGGACTAATGTCATTATATAGCATGATTGAATGAGAGCCACACAAGCTACTCCAACCATCCATACCCATAAATAATTAATGAATAAATCCAAACCATGAAGATGTCAAAATTAATTAAAACCACAAAAGCGCATTAAATATTATTAGCATTACCAACACGGCTACAGATAATTCTTAAGTACTACGTAGTACTTGTTATGAAACAAAAAGAAATGTGGATGTTCAAGTTGAGTTTTGAACCCTTAACCTCTTGTGCAAAAAGTAAACTTTTGTCCACCAAGCTACTTCAACTATAAGAATTATAAGAACATAATTGAATAAAGTATCTTTATTTGAAAAAAAAAATATCGTTATTTGAAAAATGAAATTTCTGAATGTAACTTAAAGAATGAGAAAAATCTCGTGGGAGGGACAATATGTAATTTGAGAAATATCTGTATTTGAAAAAAAAATTAAAAACGGGACTGGCAAATGTATCTTTATTTTAAAAAAAAAATTAAGAACGTAACTGAAAGAATGAGAAAAATCTTGTGGAAGGTACAATATATTTTATTTTTTTTGGAAGGAAAACATCGAATATATTAATTATGAGAAATCAACTACTGAATACATAAAGGATAATCTGAAAACCAACTACGAGGACCAGACAGTGAAGAAGCATCACGTGCCAACACATGAGCAATCTTATTCGCTGATCTATAGATAAAACGAAACGACACATAATCAAACTGCCGTTTTAGACTAAAGCAATCATTGAGGACACAACCCACATAAGAGTTATAAAGAGCCGAGGACCTCAAGGAAGAACAAACCAACTGACAATCTGACAAGATCACCAGATTTCGCCACCCGCACTCCATTGCACAGGATAACGCCTCTTTTATACCCATCGCCTCCGCAAGGTGTGGATCTTGAAGACATCGTACCGTTTTATTCCGACCCGCTATAAATGTCCCCTGCCTATCGTGAACCACCGCTGCCACCCCACCCTCATTCCTTTCAGCGAAGATAGTAGCATCTACATTAATGAAGTATAAGGCTTGAGGCGTGACACCATTATCCACAATTGTCGGTCCATTCACATGCACATGAGTGGTGCTGGAGTTGGTAGTCTGCCAACTTTCCAAAAGATTATTAACCTGCGCCATCACCCCTTCCAGAGACCATGGAACGTGACTCCAAACAAAATCATTCCTAGCCTTCCACACCGTCCAGCAACGAGCTACAAAAACATGCTTAACTTCAGTGTCCTTAGCTCCTAGCCAACCAGCCAACCATTCTTCCAGTGAATCAGAATTGGCGCTAGTTATAATGGGCGGTACATCATTCCACAAATCACGAGTGTAAGGGCAATCTCTCATAAGATGCAACACAGTTTCAGGGTATAACTGACATAAAGGGCACGTATGATCAATAGGGATACCACGACTGGTTAGATTAGTTCGTACCGGAAGAATTGCCCGTCCACACCGCCATAAAAAATTGAGGAACTTGGGAGGAATCCGAAGTGACCATATGGACCCCAAGCTGTAAATGACGAGTTACCATTATCTGTGTTCCCCATTGGTAAACGATAGCCTTGCTTAACCGAAAATATGCCACGCAGATCACCACGCCAACACCATTTACCCTCATACTCAGGCGAAACTGGCAGCTGCACAATTAAATCGACATCTCTAGCACAAAATAATTCATTGAGTAACGGAATATCCCAACTAGCACTGACCGAATCAATAAGGGCGGAAACCATCGCCGAACCATGATGTTCTGATCTTGAAGTAAGAGGATATGGGTTTTCGACATCCGGCATCCAAGGGTCTCCCCATATACGCGCCTGCCGACCATTGCCAATGCGGCGAAAGGAACCCTATTTTAGGATCGCCTGCCCCGCCAAGATTGACCGCGAACAATAGCTTGGATTGGCCCCTATATTTGCCTCAAGAAAAGAGCTTCTCGGGAAGTATCTGGTCTTGAAAATTTTTGCCACAATTGAATCAGGCTGCGATAAAATTCTCCATCCCTGTTTTGCTAAGGAGGGCCACATTAAACTCATGCAGACATTTAAATCCGAGACCTCCATAACGTTTTGGCATACACATGCGTGACCATGAGAGCCAATGCATACCTTTCCTTCCAGCACCTTTCGCGTTCCACCAGAACCGATTCATGAGCCTTTCCAAAGATTCACAAAAGGTAATAGGAAGATAATACATACTCATAGTATAAGTAGGGAAAGATCGAGCAATACTTTTAAGCAGAACCTCCTTACCTGCTCTTGAGAGAATTTTGTTATTCCATCCCCGGAAGCGTTGCTGCAACTTAGTCTCAATATAGCGAAAAACCTCTTTCTTGTTTCTCCCAATACCAAGCGGCAACCCCAAATATTTACCCGAAGAATCGGATCTGTGCATTCCAAAGGTAGCCGCTACTGCATTGCCATTTTGCACTCCCACATTCCTACTAAAGATAATGCATGATTTGGAGAAATTCACTGCTTGACCCGACATACGTTCATACTCAAGCAGACAGTTCTTAACCACCATGGCTTCCTCAACTGTAGCTTTAAAGAACACAAGGCTATCATCAGCGAAGAATAGATGGGAGATCTTCATATATAGGGGATTCGATCGAGGCAGAGGGGTCCATTACCATGCAGGTTGAGATCGGCAGTTATCTCGACATACAAAACCTGGATATGAAATTCATCGTTGTCGATTTAGCCTGCTCCCACAACGCCATTCTCGGACGACCCGGGCTGGAGGACCTGGGAGCACTGATCTCAGTCGAGCATCTGTGTCTAAAATTCCGCACGTCGACAGGAGTGGGCACGGTACGTTGCGACCGAAGAGTCGCCCGCGAGTGCTACTAACAGGCATGCCGGGGAATGGGAAAACGAGAAATGCAAGTGCATGAGATCACTGAGCGGCCCGCAAAGAAAGTAATGCCGGCTCGCCCTGAACTGGCCGTGGAATTAGAAGAAGTGGAGATCGACCTTGCCCGACTAGAGAGGCGGGTAAGAATCGGAGTCGGCCTCCGGGAGGATATACGAGCAGAAGTTATACGTGTGCTCCGTGAGAACCGCCTGGGGGCCAGAGGACATGCTGGGTGTGGACCGTTTTATCATTTCTCACTGACTCGCGGTAGACCCCGGCCATCGGCTCGTGATTCAGAAAAAGCGATATTTAGCCAACGACCGAAGAGAATTCGTGAAGAAGGAGGTGAGCACGTTGCTGGCTACCGGCCACATCCGAGTGCTTCCAAATAATTCTTAAATACAACCTACAAGGAGGTGAGCACGTTGCTCAACCCTAAAAAATGCGTCTTTGCCGTGCAAGGAGGGAAATTTCGGGGCTACATGGTGACCAAATGGGGCATTGAGTCGAACCCCGAGAAGTCCAAGCCATCATGGACATGCAACTTCCCAGCACCATAAAAGATCTTCAAAGGTTGACCGGCCGACTGGCCGCTTTAAGTCGGTTCCTAAGCAGGTTGGCAGACAAGAGGCTTCACATGGACCTCCGAGTGTCAAGAGTCTTTCGAAGAGCTGAAGAGGTACCTCTCGACGCCTCCTGTTGTAACACCCTGAAATTTTCAGACTTTTGAAGCTTATATAATAAAGGTAAATTCTCATTAAATCCCAAAACATAACATAAGAGTACGGGGTGCTATGCCACACCTAAGCTAGAGAACTCAGGTGCACAGGTTTACTAACTAGAATCCTCAATAATATCAATACATAAGCATGGCACGCGAGCCGAAAGGGAAACTATCTACTCTACGCTCCGGATCTCTAGCGCGCTCAAGTGTCTACTCATCTGTGCCTGAAAGTCAAATATATCTGTTCAGCGAGAGATGCTGGTAACCCACTCTAACACGTTGAAATACAATACATATAGACATATATATATATAGATATAAGAAGAATCCATTTTGAAGCATGAAGATATATCCTAGGAGACTCTAGCTTTAAAACAGGGAATAGACTCGACAGATAGGGATAAGCACAACCAACTGTTATAACCAAACATATATAGATACTAGCATATATCCTATAGTCACAATTTCACTTCATATCATTCATAACACCAATCAATCTGTATCTCCTCACACAAGCACACTATGATGGCGCCACAGGACCAATCGCATGCCCATACATGAGGGTCAGCGCATATAGCTCTGACATGGCCCCGCAGCACCCTGCCTCGCATCGCAACACGAAGGGGTCGATCGCAACCGACCGATGAACAGTAGCTCATCATAATGTTTGATCGCAACCAAACAGTGGACCGCAGCCCAAGAGTAGTCATCTGACCGCAGCCAGGAATATAAACCGCAGCTCATGTAAAACGTTTGATCGCAACCAAACGGTGGACCGCAGCCCGAGAGTGTAAATCTGACCGCAGCCAGCTTCTGAACCGCAGCTCAGGAATAACCAATTTGATTGCAACGAAATTGGGGTATCATGTGCACGTAACACATAGCAAGCACATGCAACCCACATTGACACATTGAGAAGGGGGAGAAATCGTATAACGAAACCTATGCGTGGTCATCCACACACTAGGAATAATCCTAAGGGGTTCATACTTCTTTCACCTAGGCCAACGGGATACCGATTCAACTAGCATGCGATATATATGACTCATTTAACCTACGAATGGTACCCGAAACATCAACTAGACATAGGCACGATAGACGGAGTCCGTTGGGACGCCACAGGGGTCGGGGAACATCAAATGGGGAAGCCGGGATCCCGGGGTGGGATAATTTCCAGCGGATAGCTGGTGGGTGAAGGGTCACCCGTCGGCGACAAGTCTCCGGGCAGCGGGTGCCCGGCGGGCAGTCGCCTGCCTGCTGCCGGCGGCGTTAATTCCGGCCGCGGGTAGGTGGCGGGTCCCGTACCCCCCACGGACTCTTTTTCACAATAAACGCTCCGGGATCCTTTGTGGACAATTAACGGATCAAAATCAATAATCATATGGCACGTATCCTATAGTAATTTCTAAACCAACAACAACACCAGAGCATGCGAATTCCCACCCAATACATCAAGAATAACACAATACGAATTTCACGATACATCCTAGGGCTCTAATCATATTTAAATCATCAAGAACATAACTCATCTTTTAATATCAAGAAACATTAAGATTCATCAAGAATATCACACAATCATCAAGAATCACTTATCATCATCAAGATTATCAAGATCCCACATAAAATCATATCACCAATTATCAAGATCACATCATCAACATCATAAACGATTCATCAAGACACAAGAATATAGAGGGATGCCTAAGAGGGAGATCATAGCTAAGAAAATAGGTTTTGTTGAGACATGGGTTACTTCTTAGCCTTAATTAATTTCCTTGGCTATGAAGGGTCTTTCTCTAAGCTTTCTTCTTTCTTGATTTCTCCTAAGGGAATTCTTGGAACTCTTCGTGTGGTGAGAGATTATTGTGGTGTAAGATCTAGGTGCCTCCTATGACCCTATATATATATATATATATATATATATATATATATATATATATATATATATATATATATATTCCTAAGAGTACAGTCCTAATTGGGGTCTAAATACTATGGGCTTACTTAATTCTATTCCTTATAAGACTAAGGACTTGTTTTAGGGATAAGGGTCCATGGTCCATAGTGGACCATATTAATTAATTAATTAAAAAGAATCATAATCTGAATGGTAAAATGCCTACTTCCTTTATTCTTAATAGATAACTAGGTCTAGGATTCCTAGTTAGAATCTGACTAGTAAAAGGTTTACTTTCTTTATTCCTAATAGGCTTAAACTCTAGTTTAGGCAAGGGTCCACGATTCATGGTGGGCCTTATTAATTATTTAAAGGGAAACCTACCAAATTAAATCATATTTAATTATTATTAACGGGATTAATTAAATAATTAATCCGGGATTGAAGGCCGTAACACGGGGTGTTACACCTGTATTTTATACTCCGCAGGTCGGCGAACCCCTGTATCTGTACTTAGCGGTATCATCTAAGGCTGTCAGTTCAGTGCTCATTCGGGAAGAAGAGCGGGCTCAGCATCTGGTTTATTACGTCAGCCGATCCTTGAAATCGGCCGAGACTCGCTATACACCCCTAGAAAAGGTGGTGTATGCACTAGTGGTCAGAGTGCGGAAGTTGACACCTTACTTTCAGGCACACACTGTCTGGGTCTTAACTGATCAACCCTTGGGAGGCGTGCTACGTAACCCCACGTCCTAAGGACGACTCGTCAAGTGGGCCGTGGAATTGACCCAATATGGAATTGAGTACCAACCCCGCCCTTCGATCAAGGGGCAAACGTTGACTGACTTCCTGGTCAAGTGCACAGTGGGAGAAGTCGATGGAATCCCAACCTCGGGAAAAGATACGGGAGAATGGTGGGAGCAACATGCCGACAGAGCTGCGAGTAGCCAGCATTGAGGTGGTGGAGTTATGTTAATGTAACACCCCAAAATTTTTAAACTTTTAAAGACTTATATAATATGGGTACCTAAAGTTAATTAATCTTTTTTGCAGGATGTTTGGTACATTGATAGTGGTTGCTCACGCCACATGACTAGAAATAAATCATATCTAGTGAATTTCAAAGAAATCGATGGACCAAAAGTTATTTTCGGTGGAAATCAAAATTATGGAATTACAAAAGGAGTTGGCACGATCAAGAAAAATGGTTTGAAGATTGAAGATGTTTCTTTCGTTGAAGGATTAAAATTTAATTTGTTGAGAACTAGTCAATTTTGTGATAAAGGCTATCTTGTAGAATTTTCTAAAGATAATTGCCTAATAAAAAATGAGCTCACAAATGAGATTATTTTATCTGGAAAACGGCGAAAGAATATGTATATTGTGGATTGGAGAACAAGCAAAGATTCAGTGTGCTTAATGGCCAGAAATTCGAATGAAGCTAATTGGGAATGGCACAGAAAGCTCAACCACTTAAACTTCAAGACTATCAATCAACTTGCAAAGAAGAATCTAGTTGAAGGCTTGCCAGATATTATCTTCAAGAAGGACCAAGTGTGTGACGCATGCCAACGCGGAAAGCAAATCAAATCGTCATTCAAATCAAAGACACACGAGTCAACGTCAAGACCGATAAGCTTGCTACATATGAACTTATTTGGACCGGTTGATCCAATAAGTGTAAGTGGTAAGAAATATACTCTCGTTGTTGTTGATGATTTTTCCAGGTACACTTGGACCGTGTTCATCAAGAAGAAAAATGAAGTTGAGCAAGTTCTACCGAAGCTGTTGAAGCAACTACAAAATGAGAAAGAATTGCAAATATCAAAAATACGAACGGATCGCGGAACCGAGTTAGTAAATGGAGTTATACAAGCTTTTTGCAATTCACATGGAATTTCTCATCAATTATCTGCCGCAAGAACACCGCAACAAAACGGTGTTGCCGAAAGAAGAAACCGGACGCTCAAAGAAGCCGCACGAGTGATGATTAGTGCTGCCGGTCTCCCGAAACGCTATTGGGCGGAAGCTATCAACACTGCTTGCTACACGCAAAATCGAAGCATGATCCATAAGCAGTACAAGAAGACGCAATATGAGCTATATAAAGGGAGAAAA